TGTACCACTTTAATTATATATATATATATATATATATATATATATAAACTTCTTAACTTATGATACTTATCCTTGATTTTTTCCTTAATAATAAATTATATATGATCATTCCCATTATCCTTTATTCTATTTTTAGGAATATGTTGACCTTTAATTAAAAGTACTTAATTTTTGTATAAACTTTCCTGTTTCTTCTCCAAATCACTTGTTAACTTATTCCTGATCCATTAACAATAAATCTTGTCTCATGGGCTCAAAATTGGTTTTGTGGAAATAAGAAACTAAAATTATTTTTCCTGATCTTAACGTGAAACAAAATTTCAAATTTAATTATGCAATGATATTTTCCCAAATGTTCCCCCAATTTAACCCTTGTAACCAAGTCCTCATTAGTGGTTAACAATAACTGTAAATTGATATTCCCTTCCTTATTAGTTGACTGTCAGACTATATGCTAGAATCACTGTAATCATTCCGAGAAACACCTCGAACCTTCCACTTGATTTTATTAGATCCAAGGTGTTCCATCTAAAATTAGTTTTCCATAATTGTGGCATCATAATCCTTTTTAGTAACAACTGTGATCTCAATAAAACATTTCTCCACAGCTCATGGAGAACTACTCCACCTTCCCCATTTTGATAAGTCTATCACTATTAATTAACTATAACACCTTACTGCCTAACCTGCTTAAGTGGAGGCCATCTCTAGCACATATTTCACCATTACCCAGAAAACTATCCCACAGGTCTAACCAGCTCATGTTTTTAAGCATATCCCAGATAGTCATTCATTTAAGTTTTGGATCCTTTTAAAGTAACTCATTCCTGCATGTAAACCGAGGGAATAAGTCTCTGAAGGAGTTCTTTCTAGTCTTTAATTAAGCATCTCTTGTTATGGTTTTCAACACCATTAACTTCTACATGCTTTCCAAAAAGAGAATGTCCCTCGATACCAGCAACTAAACTGTCTATGAGCTGTATAATGTTAGTACCTGATTAACAAGTTGTAGTCCAAGCCTTTGTTTGCTTCCTACTACAAATAATGTAATGAGAGAGCCCTCATCATGTAAACATCTTCATTATTTCACTTCCCATTGCAGGTATACCTTTTAATTCTGTAGAAAGAGAACCTGTTCAGTGGTAAATCTATTTTAAGTGTGTTTTTTTTTTTCTTTTCTCCAGCAATGTAGTGGGGAGGAATCTGAAGGGGTCGTTGGGACTAACCATCAAGATGCACACACCAGTTTCTAGCATGGTGGGTTCAATAAAAGCTGAAAGTCCACCTAGTGAAGATATTGGTGGGAGTCACTCATCACCTGCTTCACTTGGTATTATGTTTAGTAGTACAGACAAGGATGATTTTGGAACGAGGTAAAGAATTTGATTATTAAACCCTTTTTTTTTTTAAAGACTTAAAGATGGAGTGTAGCATCACTCGGAACTTTTCTTTTTGTTTAGCGTATACAGTACATTTGTGTATGCATTTACTATGAAATAAATTCTTTTAAATTTATGGTCACGTATACTTTGGATGAAGGTGGCCCTTTAATAAATTTAAAATATGATTCTTAATAAAAATATTTACTGAACTTCATGCATGCGACTTGTATTTACAGAGAGTAAATTTGTTTTTCAAATTGCCTCTTTATGTTTGTTAAGAAAGATCTAATTGTAAGTTAATGTAGACTGAATACACATGGTTGTCATTTATTAATATTAAAGTACCAGTTTCTAAAATTATGTAACAGTGACAAAACATTTCACTATAACGTAATAAAGTCGTACAAAAAACACGAGTCAAGGAGAACTTGTTTCACCACAGTGACTGAGGTACTCAATTGGTTTGATTTGTAAAATTGTACAAGTAGTTTTCTTGAACTGGTTTACTTGTTTTGTGACCTAATTACATAATATTATGTTTTGATTATTTCCAATAATGACTAGATGAAAAGCAGAGTTTGAAATTTTTTTGATCTAATTTGTGACTGTCAGCTATGTGACCTGTATTTTGTAAAAATGTTTCATAAGTAAAATATTAACAACAAGTGGATGTTTTCTTACTAACAGTACTGACAAGGAGGATTACTTTGAGAAAGGGTATGTTATGTCAATTTGATAACTTTCTTACCATTCACATAATTATAGGAATGTTTTTATTCTTCACTTGAGATTATAACGTATTTGCATAATTCTTTCATTGGCCAGTTCTTTTAAATTATCTGGTGAAAATAATTCAATGTCCAGCTCACATAATGCTAATAAGTTTCCTTATTTTCTCCTTTAACATTTCTTCAAATTTAAACTCTTGTACACTGCCATAAATTGCTGTAAGCCTATTTTACAAATGTGACTTTAACTAATGTAAAACAATAAATTTACTTTTATAAAGTAATAGTCATGACTATCACACTGACTGTTTTATTTTCTGTATTTTTAAAATGACTCTTCTTGACTATTTCTCAATTCATTCTCTAACTAATCTAACGACACTTCACAGATTCTGTTTTATTTATAATCTGTGTTCAAATATAACAGAAAAATCATGATCTCACATCTTGCAAACTTTCTAAGCATACTGTATCTGCTATCTAACAAATTACAACATAAAAATATAGCTTACAGCAATAACAATAGTTGGCCTTGAATGTGTTAGTGAAGTAACTTTTTCAGGTCAGTGCTTATTTGCATAAAAAACAAGCTTTATGGACTCACAAAACCCACAGTATTATAGCATGATATATCACCCTAGAATACTTATTTTTATATTAACCCTATCTTGTGTTATAATTGTTATTACTGAATCCATTGCTCTAAATATTACTGTATTATTAGTAAAGATAATGGTGATAATTAATGAATCAAAAATTGTGTAGAATCTATAGTTGCAATATTAGTAAATCACACACCTTAAGTGTAACTATAATGGACATGAATTTTATATGCAGGTACAGTTGATAATGTTTTCAGGGATTTTGTGGTTGAGCCTTAACGTATTAACTAATTTTCTGTTCTACTGTTATATTTTAATCAAAAATGATTTTTTTTTACAAGTGCTTTCTTAGTTATTGTCAACTGTGTAAACTGTTACCAGTAAAGTTCAAAGTTATGAACAAGAGTTTAATATATTGAGTGGCTAGAGAGCTAGGTAGTACAATGTGAAGTTTTATGTATACATTAATTAAAATATGTAAAGTTAGGAAACTAAATAAATATTAATATTCTAAAAAAACTAGTTTTTTAGATGTTCATTATACAGTTATAACTATTTACTTTTGGTAAGGTTTTCTTTCCTTCTTTCATTTTCTAACGATAGACACCATTCTGAAAAAAAACTGTTTTGCTATTGCCTTATTTTGTAGTCCATGTTTTAGCTGTTTATAAATTAATATTTGACTATTTTGTAAATTTTACTGAAGGCGTATGGTCAAACTCTGCCAACTAGAAATGTCATATAGTATAAATGATTTTGAGAAAGGTTAACTTTATTGTCTCAGGTTTTCTTGTAATTGACTGGTTATAAACTGTGAGAATAGTGTCTCAGCTTTATATCTTACTTAGCCCTCAAATTACCTGATAGTTTGATTTTTTATCATCCACTTTTGCATCATGTTGAGTATGTTTATGATTCTGACTGTTACAACACTCACTGTAAAGAACAGACCAAATAAATTGAGTGACAGTTCTCAGATTACTGATGTATTTTTTATACTGTCCATGAACTAAGTGAAGTCACTCATTTTCTGTATAAGATACATAAGTGATCCCTGCAGTATTTAGTGGGATTAACTTCAATCTTAAACCCTTTAATCAATAGAGTTGTGGATCCACAAGAAATTTGGTAAATAAATAGTTTAGAAAAATGTTTGAAATGTATTAGATCTCTGTTTGTAATAATAGGGTTAAATATGAGGAAATATAAACCAAAATACAACTCGGATTTATTATAAGCTGTGTTTACTCATGATCTTTTAGTTTTGTGACTGTAATCAAAATATTTTGGATACTTTAGCCAAAATGGCCAATTTTCATGTTCCAAGCTAATCACCATTTTTAGTAGCATAGTGTGTAACTGTTTAAGTAAATGTTTTTAAAATATTTTAAATTACAATAGGAATTAAAGTTCAGTAAAGTAGCACAATAAAATAGGCTTAAATAAACCCTGTTTAGTACCAAGTTTTCTAGAAAAAATACAAACAGTTTTGACTTTTTCTTGAGATCTGAATTGTGAAAGCTTTCCTTTTTTCTACAGTATGCTGTGTATCCAAGAAGAACTCACTCAACTGAGTGTGGAAATTCAACATTCCAAATCACCTCTAGAAGTATTAAGTCCCAGTGTAGAGAACAAGTGTCCCCCTCGGTCACTTAGTTGCCATAGCTTAACAAGTTCTGGAAAAGATCAAACACAGCCTAGTGGAAAAGACAGCTGTATTGAATTTCGTGACAGAACTAGTCGATCTGCTGGATGGTTTGATGGTCTACTAGGGTGTTTAAAACCAGTGTGGAACATTTTAGGAAAGTCTGGTAACAGTGACAATAAAGGTAAGAAATTAATCCATCTTACTTGCATGTATTTTCAAGTAGTTATTTGTCATTCTACATGTAGTATACTACATACCATTATCAGATCAAAGCAAGCTACTTAAATTGATCAGAACTTATCAGAAGTTAGCCTAATTAATAATGTACTGGTCTAACTAGAAGAATGCATGTGTTAATGTACCAGTCTGGGAGGATACAATATCAAAAAATAAAAACTTATGATTACATTGCATTGAGTCATCAGTTTGGAATTTTTGCTGTTATTGACAGTTTGGTCATAATCTCAATAATGCCTAAAGAAGTTCATCCAGTTTAAGAGGTTAAGGTTAGTCATAAATTCATATCTTAAGTTAATGGTGCCAAATATTCCTCACATTTTTATAGTTCTGAAATAATAGAATTAATAGTAATACTAGCAAAAGTATCTGGCTTTGCTTGGGTTATTAGATTGATATATTCTAGAAGACTATATCAGTATGGAGCTTCTTTTGGTTTATTTGAATTAATCACAACCTTTTTGTTTCATTTTTTTCCTACATTACAGTTTGTCGTGTAATCTTGTGAGTGTAGTAAATGTTGGTATGATTTAAAGAAATTAATAAATAAGCCAGTTAAGTAATAATAATACCCAGGTGTACACCCTCAGGGTCCACTTAGTATGGGTACAAAATTTCAGGTTTTTAGGTTCTTTTCTCTTGAAGCTATGGTGGTCATGCACCCACAGACATGCCTTTTTTATTATTATAGATTAAATTCCAGTCAGAGCAGGCTATCTATTTCGAGTGAAACTAAAATATCAACCTACTAATGAGCATAACCAGCATAACCATACTGACCCAAATTTAAGGCGGCCTTACTTTTCCAAAACAAAAAACTTGTTTTTTTTAATATAATAAAATGCACAGTAGATGCATTAATAAGATAGTACTATAAAGCAGATAAGACAAATTCAACAAAGAATGGAAAAAATAAACATTTCTTTATGCACCATTAGGGGGGGTCTCAATAATACAATTTTCTGATCCAGTAAATCTCTGATAGTTTGTTGTAATCCAAAATTCCAGATTTATGTTATGATATGGTAATCCACAAAAACATTTTACATTATTGTAATTGTTAATTCTTGAGTTTGAGCTCAGTCCAACGGACAATGCCTGTGTACATAAAATTAAACTAAATGTGTGCTATTTTACAACAGCTTCAACTGAACGTGTCAACTTGGCTCAGAGCATAGTGTGCAAATATAATGCAAGTTGTATTTTTCAAATCTTAAAAAAAAAATCATCATAAAATCAGAACAACATGGTAAATATGCCTTTCTTGCATTTCTACTTCTAAAGATTAGAATGCATTGTTTCATTAGTTAGGTACCCTGACTGTTATCAATATTTTTGGCTGTAACATTAATAAATCATTGCAAAGATGTAAACATCACATAAAAAGTGAATTGCAATCATAGCATACTTGTTCTTTTTTTCTTACAGATGAGTGGGAAATTCCATTTGAGAACATAAGGGACTTGCAATGGCTGGGTAGTGGAGCACAGGGTGCTGTTTTTCTAGGTCGTTTGAATAATGATATGGTTGCTGTAAAGAAAGTACGTGAAAAGTCAGAGACAGATATTAAACACCTTCGTAGACTCAATCATCCCAATGTTGTGTCAATCAAGTAAGTTATATACCTTTTAAAGTTCAAACAAGATTAGTTTTAGTTTGGATTCAGTATAGAAATGCATATTTTAAGAATCTTTATCATAATCTTTCTGGGTCTTTTGGTTTTCAGCATGTACGAAAATCACTTTTCCTAAATTCTGTTTCTTTTTTAGATTATATTTTCAGGCTTATTAGATTTTCTTCAAAGTATTTTGCTTTCTTAGTTTTGTGAATGTTCGTAAACCTTAATAAAATTGCTGTTTCATTTTTAAATACTAAACCTGTTTCAGTTAAAATCCTCATTATGATTTTAAAAATCTGTTGTACAATAAGCTTGAAAAGGTTAGTTTTTTAAAGGTAATCTGAAGTGTACATTATAAAAAAATATATTTCAGTCAATTGTACCTTAGCTACTGATTAATACAAAACATTAACAAAAACACAGTATTTGAGAAAAGTGAAGATTCTGTAGTTAGAGACACCTGGAAACTCTTGAGTACTTTCTTTCAACAGCTAGATAGTTAATAACATTTATTTTGGAGCATAAAATGGTGCCAGTTTCTGTGAAAATTGGAACTCATGGTGTAAGCAGAGTCATGGTTTGTAGCCTTTCTGGTCTCAGTTTTAACTTCTTCAAAAACATTTCCAACTTCTCAGTACATCTTAGACATATTTGTGTTGTTAAAAACTCTGAGGATTAGCACTTCCATTAAAAAAAAAGTGGCAGTGGACAGAGTCAGACCATAAGAACAGGTTAGTATAGCTGATGAATCATGCACAAGTCTTTCCTTAGTAAGCAAAGAAGTGAAAATTGAAACTTGTAAAATTTAAGATGTAGTAGCTTATGTAGTTGTAGCACCTGTATTGTGAACAAGGTCACATTTTTAAATATTTCTTGGTTTCAGTTTTTTATTTTCTTGGACTTTATTTTCATTCTACTTAGGATAAAAATGTTTGTATTATTAAGTTACTCAAATAGCTATCTTTTTTCTTTAAAATTCAATATTATAAATTTTTGACAGAAAGAAACTTCTCTGATGATTATAAGTGATCAAACAAGATTTAAATAAATCAACATAAAATCACTACATAACTTTACTATTCGTATTTCTTTTTCTGCAGAGGAGTTTGTACACAAGCTCCGTGTTACTGTATTGTGATGGAATACTGAAGTATCACTACATAACTTTACTATTCGTATTTCTTTTTCTGCAGAGGAGTTTGTACACAAGCTCCGTGTTACTGTATTGTGATGGAATACTGTCCGTACGGGCAACTTTACGACATGTTGAAAAATGGCCAAGAGATTTCACCACCCACAGTGGTTGAATGGGGTAAACAGATTGCATCTGGAATGAACTATCTACATTCTTATAGGATCATTCATCGAGATTTGAAGTCCCCAAAGTATGTGATTACACGTTAACCACCATCATGTTTATTATCCTGCTTATTGTGTTGTTTTTTTCTTGATATTTTGATTTTTTCAAACTATATTCCCAATTTAAAAAAATTGTAATTAAATAATCACTAAGTCTATAGGATTCATATTGTCATTAAAAAGTCATGAAAAATCTTAGAACCAAACAATGTGGTTGGAGACTAATATACATTTCTTTGTTTTGACACTGAAATCCATGGTATCCAAGAGCGATCATTATTTTAAAGCTGCTCTGCCCAATAAATGTGGGCATGGAAACTGTGAATGAGCCATAGAAATATTTTGAAATAAATGTATCGATCTTGATTTAAATGAGGACTCGTATCTTAAAAACCTGTTTGAAAAAAAGGAAAAAAACAAAATTGTAAACTAGAAGTTTCTGATGTACTAGCCAACAAGAGAAAAACTTTCAAATGGTTACTGTTGATGTAAGAAATGGAGAAATTATCTAGCATCGTTGAGCATAAATAAACTTACTCTTTATAGATCTGAACATTTCCCATTTTGTGGAGCTGATTTCACTATAATTTATTCGTCAGTGTGTCCAGTAATAAGAAAGTACAAAACCATAACATGAAATCAGTGTGTGTGACCCACACATGAAGACATCTGGAATGATAATAAGTGACTTGGTTGTAGTGTAATGAAGGAAATTTTTAAGCTGTAATTATTTATGCTGTTCGGTGAATAATACTCTTGAATTGAAACTTTTGAAAAATGTCCTTAGAACATGATTTCATGTGAATGTGGAATAATAACACAGATTATTAAGTACAATATTACTTTGTGATACATAATATAGGCTCATTGATAAAACCTTTTTTTTTTCTGAAACACATTTCAAAAGTACAATAATCAAATCAATTATATATAGCAGGTTAGTTCCATGCTCTAGATGTTTGTTGTGTTTACGTATAACTAATGTAGATTATACTTAAAGGTGTTGTCAATCCACTTTCTTTACAATGTGAACAACAATCAGGCATTGATGTGGCATAGTGGCTTAGATAGTTTTGAGATTGGAGTAGTTTCAAACAGAATTTGTATTTAAAGAAAGAGTAGTAGCTTGTACAAGTTCATGGAAAATAAAAGTAATAATTATAATTTATTTTTAAAGTATTTCATGAAGATGTAATGAAGAAGAAGAGGGGACAACTCTTACAAACTTCACAGTGAGAGACCTTACACACTCTTACAAACTTCGCTTTTTCAAAAATGAGAGATTCTGAATTGATTTATTTTTAAAACTCCTGCTTGATGGAACTACTAATATAAAATAAGTCATCAACTTAGAGATCAGGTTTTATTTTTATTCAGTACGTTGAAGAACTTATTTTCAAAGTCAGCTATGGATTATTTTCAACAAAATCACAACATGAGGATGGCTAATCCAGGTGTAAGGTCTCTCACTGTGAAGTTTGTAAGAGTGTGTAAGGTCTCTCACTGTTTCAGATGGTATTTAACGAACATCATTGTGTTAGTAATTGTTTTGACAAATTGTAACACACAAGATCTTATTGGTTTATCTAAACATGGGTGGGTGATCTGTCCTTTTTTGTTTATTTGGTAATAATCTTTAATCACTATGATAAAAACTGATAATATATCTGGTTGTCAGTAAAGTAATAATGATCATTTTTCATCATTAGTGTCCTTATAAGCCTTAATGGAATCCTGAAGATATCAGATTTTGGAACGTGTAGACAGTGGAATGAAATAAGTACAAGAATGTCATTTGCTGGTACTGTAGCTTGGATGGCTCCAGAAATTATTCGTAATGAACCCTGCTCAGAAAAGGTGGATATATGGTCAGTAATTTTCTCTCATTTTTAAATTTTAAAAATGTCCTTTGAGATGCATTTAAAGTAGAGTTGGATAGTAAACTTTTGTTACTTTTTACTTAAGAAATATAATGAGAAAATGTAATGCCTTTCATAAAAATGTCTTAACAAATTAAGTTATTTTTGTAATATTGAAAAGGTTCTGTTTCCACTAGAATGTTCAGGTTTTTAGCTTTATTTTGTCATATTTCCATGCCAGAAATATGCTTCACTTTATAATCAACTAACTAAAAAACGTTGCCTGTTCCAATACTTTATAGTGGAAAAAGTGAGTAGAAGATTTTATTTTGTAAATTTGGATTAGTTCCTAAAAACCTGTTAATTTGTTTTAACTAACAAAACACACTTAACACTTGTACAATAGCAAGTAAAATTTTTTTTATATTTTTACTGACATCAGTAATAAAATATTTCACATTTTTAACTTGCCTAGGCATTTATTACCCATTCAGATATCTATTTAAAGAACTCATTAAATAATGGATATGAAGAGTCATATGAGTTTTGGTGTTGGTTTTGTTTAAATGGGATAAAACAAATTTGGCCCAAATACTAGTAATATGAATATCTTTCAGGGTTTATAAGTATAAATTTTTTGTATTTAAAACCTGAATTATTGAAACTGTTCAAATTCATCATTGTTTAAATGAACAGCATTTTTATTTAAGTGTAAAAAAACTTTGTTGATATTTGACTTTAGCAGGCATATGATATTGATAAGTATTATAAATTTCCACAAAAGTTGGTATTAGACATCCTAAATCATTCTAGATATGGCCTAACCTCCATCTTCTAAAAACTATTAAGAACTATCCGAAAGATACATTTTTGGAAGTGTAGAAAAATTGAAACATACTCCATTTTACAAAACAATTGTCAACACTTGTTTTTAGGTCTTTTGGAGTAGTAATGTGGGAATTATTGACCTGCGAAACACCATACAGAGATGTTGATTCCTCGGCTGTTATATGGGGTGTTGGCAACAATAGTCTTCGTCTTCCTATTCCTACAACTTGTCCGGAAGGCTTCATGCTGCTTATGAAGCAGTGTTGGTAAGGGAAAGATTTATGGCAATCAAATCAAAGGCATTTTTTTTAATATACACTATTCTTCTTTATTTTCCTGAAGAAGAATAGTCAGCTATTCGAAAGTGCTCGAGTTTTGGGTCTCGTTTTAAAAATATTACAACTTTTGTAGACGATCCTGTGTGCTAACTACTTAACCAGGATTTAATATACACTGATATTCTCATAAAAACTCATAATTTTGTCTTATTTATAAGTAAAAATTAAATATTTTTTGGTCTTGAAGTAACTCTTTTATAACTCTTGGAAACCTTTCAGTTTTGTACTGTATTGGCTGTGTGTAAACTGTGTTGTATAACAAATTAAACATGAAAAATATTAAAGCCAAAACTTAGAATTATGACTGTTGTACCTGTACAGTTTTCAGATAAAATGTTACTACAGTGTTATATATTAACTGTATTAAACATTTTGAGCAGCGTATTTATTTATTGACTTTTATTTTTTATTTTGCTTTTGTGAATTAGATTATACATAACCCATGTCTCTTTTTTTTACTTTTTTTGTAAATGTTTGAAATAAGCTTGAGTTTTATATTAGGTACTAAACAGAGATTAAATGAAATTATCAGTTATTTGAATTAATATGTACTTGGACTTAAAAAAAAAAACTGTATTAGAATGTTGACAGAGAACAAATTTTGTGCTTCAGGAGTGCCAAGCCTCGGAATCGGCCCTCGTTTCGACACATCTTGATGCATCTGGATATAGCAGCAGTGGAGATCTTGAGCACACCAAAAGAAAAATATTTTAAAACCCAGGTGATGAAAGCATTGTTTAAATTAACATAATCAATTTTTAATGAATACTACATTGCTGTAGAGACATTAAATATTCCAATTTTAAAACAAGTTTATATTTTCATTGTTTATTATTTAATAATTGTAGTGATAAGTTAATTCTCAAATTCAAGATTAGTTTTTTTATCTCTAAAATTATTTTATATCTTTTCACAATTTTCTCACAGTAAAGTTGAGGATAACGTCAACAATATTCATTGTAAATGCCAGTAACTGTTAAGTTCCTACACTTATCACTACAATTCATTGTATACTTCAATAGATATGCATGACTGTGCTTCAGGAAATATAATTTATTTTATTTTAGCTCATTTTTCTCAATATTTTGTCAAAGATGAGTTCACCTGAATTACAATAGTTGTGTTCTCTGAATGAAACCATTATGTATGAAATAAGTGAAACTAAAATATATTAAGTTTTATATTTTGATGTATACTCTTGTATGGTTATTTAAGTATGATAATGGTTCTTCAGTGTACATTAAGAACACTCAAAATCACAATAATTCATGTTGAAGTATTACATTTCTTTTGAAAATTTAAAATGTTATTATTGTCATTATACAAAAACTTGTAGCTTACATCTTGAGCATGAGTAACAACAATGGCTAATCAAGAGTTATGCTGTTTGATTAAGGCTCTTTGAATCATTGAAAGCTATTTTAAAATTAACACTGTAATTTATGACAATGGTAGTTTTTGTTGTTGTGAAAAAGAAAAGGAAAATACAGAATCACTTTAAGCATAATTTAGTATACTGACTTCGGTTTACTTATTACACCTGGTAAAATAAATGTGTCCTTTAGAAAAAAAAACGTTACAGCATTAGAGGTCAATTTATAATCGGCCATTTAGTAAAGTTTGAAATAACCATTTATTAGTATCAGTTTTACAGTAATGCATGAGTATGTAAGTAATTTAGTTAAAAACTAATCTCTACAAAAAACTACCAATGTTTCTGCTTGCATCTTCATCAAGATAGAGCATTTAATTAACTTGTGTCTTCATCAGGATATAGCATTAACTGACTTATGCTTTTACTGAAGTAATGCACTAAACTGGCTCATACCCTACTGTTGCTTTTACACTCCAGTTATCCTCTGTGCAGATTTGAGCTGCTAATAAAGCAGTAGAGCAATATTATTTACTTTGATTAGTTTGCTATTTACAATTGCTTTTACATCCCAGGAGACCGTGACATGATATGTGTTAAAAACTGACTTAGAAAGGATTACATCCTAGTTGATTTTAATAATATTGTTACTAGATGTCAAGGAGAAATGATTGTGTCATGGTTGAAAGAGTGATTTTCTTGTTGTTGTTGCTAGATGTCAAGGAGAAATGATTGTGTCATGGTTGAAAGAGTGATTTTCTTGTTGTTGCTGCTAGATGTTGAGGGGAAAGTATTATGTCATGGTTGAAAGAGTGATTTTCTTGTTGTTCTTGCTAGATGTTGAGGGGAAAGTATTTTGTCATGGTTGAAAGAGTGATTTTCTTGTTGTTGTTGCTAGATGTTGAGGGGAAAGTATTGTGTCATGGTTGAAAGAGTGATTTTCTTGTTGTTGTTGCTAGATGTTGAGGGGAAAGTATTGTGTCATGGTTGAAAGAGTGATTTTTATTATTGTTGTTGCTAGATGTTGAGGAAATTATCTTACTGATTTCTATTGCTCTTTCATTTCTTGTGTAAATATAATTGAGTAATGTAGCATGTTTACATTTCTATATATTCAGAAAGTTCTCTATCTTTGCACTTGCTTTTTACATTTTGATGAGTCTTTTTGTGAATTCTTTGGTAAACTAATTTTTTTGTTTTGGTATAATTCATCACATTGCATTGAACTTTTGTTTCTTATTATCAGGCTTCTTGGAAAGAGGAAATAAAGCAGTACATGAATGAAATTAAACAGGATGGAAATCACATTTCTCACGTAGAGAAAGACCTTGTGCAAAGAAGAAGAGATGAATTACGACATGCCCAAGATATTCGTGAGCATTATGAGCGTAAATTAGAACGTGCCAATAATCTGTATATGGAGTTAGCTGCTTGTTTATTGCAACTAGAGCAAAGAGAAAAGGACCTTTTGAAGTAAGTACTTAAAAATATTTGATTTTTTTTTGTATATATATATATATATATATAACATACAGGTTTATTTATGTTTAAAATGAAAATTCTGTGGAAATGTCTATTCCCTTGCATGTTGAATTTATTCAATGTCATATCCGTTTAACCTTATCATTATCTGTGTGCAACTTTTACATGTCAGGTGCAAACCTGCATGTCAAATTTCAAAATTTATGGAGAAAATTGTGTTTGTATTTCTTATTTTTTGAACATTGTTTTACTCCAAAGTATTTTATAATTGATATTGTATAATTATATAACATTTATTTAATGTAATTCACAAAGGGGAAAAAAAAGATCCAACTTTAATTTTTGCACACTTCTGACAAGTCTTGCCTGTAAACATTAGTTTTATAGATTTTTTTTTTAGAATTTTTCAGTCTACTTTTCATGGTATAGTTTTATGGTTGCTGAGAAACTATCATCCCATGGAAATATAAATCATATCTTGGTTTTCTTATGATTTTCTTCGTCTGTCGATGGTTTTACAAGTATATTCTTCATTCCCATCCTTTTATCGTGCCGCAGCGTGTGGTCTGAAGAATTACTAATGATGCTCAGTTTTGAAAATAGCTAGAGCCAATGGTTAAAAGAAGTGGAATATATAAAACTCTAATATTTCAATATCAATATAGATCAAATAAAGTGATTCCAGCAGTAACTTTCACTCTGTCCACATATTGACTGTCTGGAGCTCTTGTAGTGATGAACAAAGTATTCTTATTTGAATTTTTAACACTTTGGAACAAGTAACAGATCTAATAAGTTTTCTATACTTTCTTTTGACATTATTTTTGTCCCTAAAATTGGTTTCATGTTAAATGATATTTGTTTCAAAGCTCCGGAATGTTTTTCCATGACGGTAATCAGGTGAGCTTAGTTAGAGCAAACTACTCTGATGACTTAGATCCTTTTTTATTGAATATTATTGTTAAATACAAGTTGAATAACTTGCTTATTGAAAACAAACTATACTTATTAGATGTTAAGTTCATTTTGACCCAGCATAATTTTTGCAAACCTAACCTGATAAAGTTAACAGTGACACAATTTGAAAAGTAAGGCCCTAGGCCACTAATAAATCTTTGTCAGTTTTTAACATATTTTTATTATTTATAGCTGGAAGTGGGACTGCTTCAACTGGCAAAAATAAAGTATCAAAAGAATTATATTAAAGAATATGAAACAAGTTGAAACTTACTGGATGTATAAGATGGAACCTTATGATAAAGACTGAAAGAAAATAATTTAGCTGAAAGGATCCATGTTTTTTTTTGTTGTTTTTTTCAAAACTGTGTCCCTCACAACAAAAATTGGAATTTCAAAACCTCGATTAAAAGATATATAAAAAAAATAGATAAAGTTATGGTTTTTTAAAGCAACTAATTAGAAAGTTTATACTAAATGTTATACAGTTTTGTTAAATATTTTCACTGTGAGAACAAATAATTCCTGGGATATCTGCGATGCTCAACCAGACAGAAAAGGGTTGAACAGCTTCTGTATAATTTGATGCATTTAAACTAAAGCTTGGCCTAATTGAGTGAATGTATATTTTTTATTATGACCTTCAAAACAATTTTACTACTATTCATATTTTTCTGTACTCATTAGAATCCTATAATGTATGTTAATAGGCAGGAACAAGTGATTCAGCAGTGTTCTGGGATTAAGCCTCATAAGAAGCGTATTGTAAGGCCATTGCTGAAAGCACATGAAAGACTCAACAAAAAACGAAGTTATAAATTGCCGTCAGAACAGACGAGGTTTGTTTGAATGATCTTGGCTTTTACAAACATAATCTAGAACATAAGTAGTAATCGTTCCAGAAATTTTAATGAGATTTGGGTGGTAATGATGATGATGACCAGCTTGAAAGTAGTCGTTATGACCCAGTATCATCAACCAGCGAGTCAGAAAATAACATTCATAAAAAGCCAATTTTTAAATTTGAAATAATTTAGCTAGACTTTACAGAATATTTATGAAAGTTAACATTATCATTTAACTGATTCTCTTCTAAGAACCAAAATGGTAGCTATATGGTAAAGTTACCATTTTGCATCTGATTAAAAAAATGAGATTAACTTTTACATTAGGGAACTTGATTTTATTAATTATTTATGTTTAAAATTATTAATGACTTTGAACCACAGTTTTTTTATTTGTTCAAAATTTTGGCTTCACACCTTCATCGGAAGCATACATGTTTTGTAATAAACTTATGAGTTAAATTAAGCCTGTTGTATTCTAAACATTAATCCATGTACGAGATTGTGACTTGCAAGTGGTCATTCCTATTGTTACAAACCCCATGATACATAAACATTGTTGTTACACAAAGGAAGAATATTTTACATAGTAAAAGGAGAGCCTATGTATAAAAGTTTAACAAAATTAGGCAAACTGGATAAGTAATGCTTTAAATTATTATCTACAGAAAAGTTAGTTAAATTTAAAAGAGGGCCTATCCATTATATTTGTTTATATATTAAAAGTAATTCTTAATTTTCTGATCTTGTGAGAATTTTAAATGTTATTGGATAAACCATCTTTGGTATTCCATGATCCAGCCACTGCAGTTTTTTCCACCTCTGCTTTATTTATGTTCCAAGAGTGTGTTCATTAAAAAGAAATGTTAATTTTGATTTGTTTACAGCCCTGAGAGCCCCCAGAAGCTTAATGCTGTAACCTCCAATTTTGTGGCATCGTCTGGTCATTGTTCAGTTAAGGCTCGGATCCGTCGGGTTCGTCATCGTCGAAACGGTAGTCATGGTGGTTCGGGTACATACCATTTTGCAGGGTCTGGGAGCTATAATTCTTCTCCCAAGACTAGCCCAAGGAAGGAACAACAGGGCATGGTAGATAGTGAAGTTCAAACAGATGGGAGAGAGTTCCTGAGTGAGAATGACTTGATCAGCCCCAGTGTAACTAAGCCATTAGCCTTTGATACTCAACCAGCCAAAGATGGTGTTATTGAGTCTGGAATTTACAGCAATAAAAATAACTGTAATTCCATTTGTAAAATATGTAGGTGTTCAGTTAGTAATACAGAATGTTGCAGTTGCAAGAACAATTTTCCAGAAAGTAACAAAATTACAATTGAGGAGCAAGAAGGCTCATTAGAGCCCTCAGATCCACAAAAAAATCCCGAAAAATATTCAAGGTCACCTGAAAATTCAGATAATGATAACATGAACAAAAGAGAAGAGATAATTAATTATGAAAATAAGCCTAGAACAAATAACAAGTTGAATGGTAATGGTTCGGTACAGTCATTTCCCTCGGTACAGGAAGGTCTCAGTCCAAAGACAAGTAGGCGGTTTAAAAGAATGATCAGTGACAGTGATGAGTCACCCACTGCTGTTTCAGTACCCGTTCTGGCTACTAGCGGTCACACATGGTCTCTTGGTCCTCAAAAGACATTGCAGGTAAGGGTCATATTGTCGCTTTCGTTCTGTTCAAAATGCATCAGGTAAAAACAAAAAGAACTTCATATCAAAAGTTGTGATTTGTTTTCTTTCCATTTTTGCCATGAAGGAAAAATGTTTATTGTGCTTTTGTGTTCATCTGTTTTTTAATGGTTAACTGGAAAAGGATCAAATTTAACCCGTTTTATTAATTGTTTTTAATGCTGTTAGGATATTGTAAGCTCTTTGTTAAAAAGCAGTCCTGTATAATTATCCAGACAGCACAATTCTCAAGTATGTCATATTAGTGTATTGCTTTATAGCCACTCCATATTACCCTGTATTCCTTCTTGTTTGGTTTGCTTAATATTTAGTTTGAAAAAATCTTCAATTTTTGATATAAATATATATTTTACTGATCAGTATAAGCTATATCTAAAAAATACAAAGGCTAATGTACCCATGATCAAACTCAACTTTGCACGTGTGTGAATCACATTGTGGACAGAATGTACGCACTTAAATTTGTGATAAGTATACAGTGTGGTACATAAGTCGGGCAATTCAAGCATCATAATCTTACCATACTGGAATACATATTAACAACATGAGTAATGGTATTGTAACTTCTGCAAGTTAAGCGAATTAACAAAAAAACAGGGTCCCCATGTGTCTTGGAAAACCTAAAAAACTTAGATTAATTTCAAGTTCTGTAATAGTCATTGAAAATGGAGAAAAACATAAATGTTCTGTAAAAGTCATGAAAGACCGTAACTTATTAAATTCATTATTTGATTTAATAACAGTTAATCATTTCATTCAAGAACTAACTTAATTAAAATGTGATTGATTAAATAAGAGTGAAAAGATGTGAGGATTGGGTAGATATGAGGTGTGATGTGAGACTGTAAAGTTTCAAGAAGTGTCCTGGAAAACCATTTTTATCCAAGTGTGGGATCCCTGAATAGATAATTAGCTTTCCATTTCATTTGTTCATTATTACTTCAGTTGAACTAGAACACAGCTTGTATTGTATATTACAACTGAAAAACCTAGACAAAAAAAAAATGTGAACAGCACAATTTAAAATGCCATTCACTCTCTTCCTTATAGTTTGATACAAGTTATTGTAAATATTACGTACGAGCCAAGAATTCTATCATATACAGTAATATTTTGTTCATCAGGTTGTAATGAAATATTTAACTAAATAAGTAAATGGTACGTATGCATAAATTTGGAAAAAGTGTTAGTGTAAATTACTTAAGATGCTGCAGACTTGATCAAGTTGTTGCTTCTTAGGTATATAACTTTTTGAGGTTAGGGTAGTTAGCATGCCAACATGTGAATCTGAGAATCCATGGTTTACTTCTTTTTCCAACAGAACATTCTTCCATGGGTGCATTTTAAGAGTGATAGTCAAATCCCATTATTTGATAAGAGTAACCCGAGAGTTTGTATCTATGATGTGTTTCAGATTTAACCAATAAAAATTACAAAAAAAAATGGAGTAAGTTTCAAATATAAAACAATCAAAAAACAAACGTAAAAAAAGGTTTGTTTTTCTTTAGTGAAAATCTCATGAGTGTTGCAACAGAAAAGCAAGACACTTTCATTGATAATTCAATAAAATCTACTCTCT